TTGTAGGTGACTATGATTCTGAAGACGTACAGGACAGTTTTTTGAAAAAACTAATTACAGAACCTACAAGAGGTGACAATATATTAGACTTAGTATTAACAAATAAAGAAAATATTATCAGAGATATCACAGTAGGGGAAGAACTAGGTAACAGTGATCACAGAGAAATCAGGTTCACCCTAAATTGGGAAACGAAAAACAATGACAATATGGTCAGAGTCCCAAACTTTCGGTTGGCGGATTATCAGGGGTTAAGAAGGTACCTAGGTGAGGTCACCTGGGAACAATCACGTCAGTCACCAGTAGGAAGGGGTGAGGTCATAGATGACACAACAATTGATCATGACTATAATATATTCACTAGTATACTACATAAAGCACAAGAACAAAATATACCATACAGAAAAATTAGGTCAAATAAGAATGAGCCAAGAGGGATGATCAGAAAACTTAAACAACACATACGAATAAAGAAAGGAATATACAAGAAATTAAAGGGAGGGGAGGAGCAGCTCAGCAATAGGTATAATGAACTATCTAGGAATGTCAAGAAAAATATATGGAAAGCAAAGAGAGACTCTGAAATCAAAATAGCAAGAGAATCCAAGGCGAAACCCAAGGGATTTTTCCAGGTATATAGAACAAAGGTCAAGGACAAAGTTGGGCCTTTAAAGTCAGGGACGGGAGAAGTGATAAATGGCAGTGAGGAAATAAGCAAAGCATTGAACAGCTACTTCTTATCAGTTTTCACAGAGGAAATTCGCGATGAAATTCCAGAGGTGGAACTGATATTTAAGGGAAAAGAAGAAGAGAATTTAAAGAATATCACTATCAGAAAAGAGGACGTTTTTAAGAAGATAAATAAACTAAAGAAGACAAAATCCGCAGGGCCGGATGAAATTTTCCCTCGAGTCTTGAAAGAGTGTAGGGAACAGATTAGCGGACTCCTTGTAAACTTATTTACAAAATCATTAGACACCTGAGTTGTGCCAGACTTGTGGAAACAGGCAAATGTATTACCCATAGTCAAAAATGGAGACAGAGCATCAGCTTCAAATTACCGGCCGATCAGTTTGACGTCAGTAGTGGGGAAATTTCTTGAATCAATTATAGCAGATAACATCCCATCGCATTTAGAGAAAAGCAAATTAATCTATGATTCTCAACATGGGTTTACAAAGGGAAAATCTTGTCTAACAAATCTGCTGACATTTTCTCGGAAAGTCTTCGAGGTAGTAGATAATGACGAAAATTACGATGTTATTTTCTTTAGCAAAGCATTTGACAGAGTACCGCATCAGAGGCTTCTGAGAAAAATTAAGGCTCATGGTATCGAGGGGAAAGTTTTAAATTGGATAAAATCATGGCTCACCGATAGAACGCAGAGGGTCAACGTCGATGGTGTTAAATCTGAGTGGGGCCGTGTAACCAGTGGGGTTCCCCAGGGGTCAGTACTAGGTCCACTCTTGTTCACAATCTACATAAACGATCTAGATACTGGGATCAGCAGTGGCATAAGAAATTTTACGGATGACACCAAAATAGGGCGGCAGATTAATTCAGGGCATGATGCAAATGCATTACAGGAGGATCTAAATAAACTGCAGGGGTGGTCTGAAAAATGGCAAATGAAATTCAACACCAGCAAGTGCAGCGTACTTAATATTGGAAGAACTAATACTGTCAATGTATACAGCCTTAACAACATCAACCTAGAGAAGCCGACTTGTGAAAGAGACCTAGGGGTACTTGTAAGCCCAGACCTACGGCCTAGAAAACAGTGCGTTAATGTTCGAAATTCGGCAAACAGAGTATTGGGTTTTATATCTAGAAGTGTAAGTAATAAGAGTGCAGAAGTCTTATTGCAACTATATCTTGCGCTAGTCAGGCCGCACCTCCATTATGCGGTTCAGTTCTGATGCCCTTATTATAGAATGGATATCAATTCACTACTGTCGGTGCAGCGAAGAATGACGAAATTGATTCCGGGACTTAGAAACCTTCCATATCAGGATAGGTTAAAGAAACTTAACTTGCATTCCCTAGAAAGACGAAGAGTGCGGGGAGATATGATAGAAGTATTCAAGTGGGTGAAAGTAATCAATAAAGTGGATATAGATAAAGTTCTTATAATATCCGAGCAGGATAGGACTCGGAACAACGGATTCAAGTTGGATAAGTTTAGGTTTAGGAGGGAGATAGGAAGGAACTGGTTTACAAATAGGGTGGTGGACGAGTGGAACAAGCTTAGCAACCTTTTAGTAAGGGTTGGAACGCTGGAAAGTTTCAAAGGGAGGCTGGATAGATTCATGGATGATAGAGAGTAGTAGTAACTCTCGACAGGAGCTGCCATGCACAGGCCAACCGGCCTATTTCAGACTCCTTATTTTCTTATGTTCTTATAAACACACACACACACATACAAACACACCTAGAAAAAGTGCAAAAGAGGGCATGCAATATTATTCTCTCCCCTTCCTACTCCACATATCAAGAAGCGCTCAACACACTGACCCTTTCGACTCTCACTGACCATCACCACGACCTCATCTGCAAATTTGGTAAGAAGCTTCTACACCATCCCCGACACCGGCTCCTACTACCACCTGAGATCCCCTGTCCGAGAATTGCTGTTCGACACCACAACCGCATCCAGCCCATACGTGCACGAACTGATCGCTATAAGAACAGCCCAGTCCCAACCATTGTAAAAATTATCAATAACATGTAATAAATCAGTGTATTCACTCCCAGTAAACACTGCTCCTTACACTGTCACTATGTTGAAATGAACTGTAGTTTGAGCTGATCCCCATCTAAGTTATTATATGTCTTATTTGTGTCACTTATGTTACTTGTATATTATTTGTAATTCGTAACCCATTCCCCAAATATGTAACTGTATATTTTCAGCCTTCTGGCTGCCAAGCTCTTTCAATAAACCGTTAATTATTATTATTATTATTTATTATTACATACACACACACACACACACACACACACACATACACACACACTACTGCCTCCTGGATGCCCATTCTCCTCACTTCTTGTGTATCCTTCACCTCCTCGATGTCACCTTCTTGCTCCTGTTACTATCCACTTATAAATAATATTATTTCTTAACTCTTTAGCTTTAGAATATCATATAATTTACACACTCGCGGAAAAGAGCACACATAGCTGCAAGCCTCACACCTGAGCCTTGACGGCGTATCTCCCTGTGGTAGAGTAGACAGTGAGATAGCGGGAGTAGACACCATCTCCTGCCTGGTTGTCTGCTGCTTGTCCATTATCCAGCAGCTCTAACTCAGTGGCTCGGGCTGTTGTGTCTGGTTGACTCACATATGCCCTGTAAACATGTTCATACAGTGATGATAGCATCGTCTAAAACTCTAAACAATATATAGTTAATGTTAATAACGTCGTCTTCTAAACAATGTTTAGTTTCGCCTATTTTCACTTCCTTAAGACATACCGCAACTGTTAGAAGTTGATTGGTTGTTGGTTACTACGTGGTTCAACCAGCAACCAATCACTTCCAATAACTTTGGCGTTCGCTAATAACTTAAAAAGTGGGTGAAGAAGCTTAGTGTATAGGTCAATTATCATTACAATTATAAGAACTTCATTGGGAATTGGTCTATCTTGCCAGCAACACCTGTACTAAGCTAACCTAACACGGGCGCCGACGACGGGGTTATTTCCTTGCTTCACCTCAGCGTAGATAATGATGGGATTGGCGGAGGCGTCCACGTCGCCTGCCCCGGCGCTCATCTGTCAAACAAACAAATACAGATAAGATATGAGACACTAAATCTTTGTAAAGGAGCAAAGAAACGTGAGTGGCTAAGTTTTGTAAGGAAGAAAAGCGTAACGCAACTTACCCAGGCCCGGGAGTAGATCGGCATACTGGTAGGCTCCCTGGCTTGTGCTGTCACGCTTACACGAACGTGGTTGTTGACATTCCCAGACAAACCGACACTCCATTTCCACCTCCCTGTCTGTAGTAGCAGAAAGAGTTACCTACTTGTCTCTCTGAGTGAGGCACTGTATTGTACATAGAGCTTATTTGCAAGGACCTAAGGTACTAGATGTACATATAGTGAAGAAGAATAAGCCATGAATAAGATAGTTCAATTAGCGCTTAGCCCATTGAACGAGGCATGTACATGAATAATAAATTGCTCCTGCCACACACACACACAGACACACACACAGACACAGACACAGACACACACACACACATACTGTAAGCTCATAAGCATTCAAAATATATACACAAAACGTGATAAAACCAGCCAGGAAAGGGGAGACACTGGAATACCTTAGCTTTCGTCTCTGTTCAAAATATTTTCAGAGGCAACTGAATTTACAAGGACTAAGAGTGCTTATAAACAATGGGTGACCTTACATAGCATCAATTCAGATCAATAAATAAATAAATAATGTTGCGGAATATCTCACTACTGGTTATTGGGTTTTTTTATTTATAGTGGATGGTAATGCAGTGGAAGCGCCCCTTAGAGAAAATCCCGAACCAGCACAAACACAATTAATAAAAGTATTCTCTGTGACCGTGGAAAGCTAATACCTGTGAATGGGGTTAATGAGACGCACTTCTAGTCCTTTCAACAATACAGACGGAATCAATTATTGTACACAAGCACTAGAGTACTTCTTAGCGTAACTTACAACACTACAATGGGAAACAAAAGTTATACATGGTATCAAAAAAATTATTAAAAGTTATTAATTGCATCTGAAAAGACTACTAATGCAGCAGTACTACATACACCACAACAGACACCAGAACGAGGAACTCATCTGAAACAATTATGATTTTAAACTGGTCAGTTTTGATGTAACATCACTCTTTACAAAGGTCCCAGTTGATGATTTACTGGAGTTCCTCACTGATTCCCTGGGGAATATTTCATTGCCCGTCTCGAAAGATGGCTTCATCGAACTCATCAAACTATGTATTAAGGATTGTAAATTTGAATTCAATGGAGAATATTATGCTAAAAATTTGAATTCAAATGTACAATCCTTAATACATAGTTTGATGAGTTTGATGAAGTCTCTCTTTCGAGACGGGCAATGAAATATTATCCAGGGAATCTCCTTTGTCTGTACTCACTCCAGAGATGTGAATTACACGAAAGCGTTTGGGATCTTCGTGTTTTCTTGTTTCCTTGTGGTTATCAGCATATATATATATATATATATATATATATATATATATATATATATATATATATATATATATATATATATATATATATATATATATATATATATATATATATATATATATATATATATATATATATTTCATGTAAATCCACAATGAAAACGTGGATAAGATAAATCTTGATAAAATCACACGGGAAAATGGAAACAACGGAGCACCTTAGCTTTCGTCTTTATTCAAGACATCTTCAGAGGCAACTGGATTACATGGACAGAGAGAGGCTTAAATATACAGGGTGACCTTAAAAACATGAGGTCAGGTCATAATGATGTCATCCACTAATCCCCACACCAACACACACGTAGAGGAGCTTAAGAGAAGGGGGTTGACGTGACTAGTCAGGTCAGGTCAAAAATAAGGGACCCACAAAATAACTATCATACATCTAGATCAAAGGTTTTCAAAGCATTTTTAACCTTGGGCCACTGACAAATAAATTTATGTAACATATTATCAGTTTTGAACTGACCATCACTTAGGTTTATTGATTTTAATTCCTTAATCAAACTAGCTTCAACCAGAAGTCTTTCTGTGACACAAGATGATTTAAATACTTCTAAGCTTTTTTCCCAAGCAATGGGGTGATTATTATTCCTAACATGAACGAACAGGGCACTGCTTTCAGATGCAGTTCTGATATTATACTTATGTTGTTTGATTCTAAGCTGCAGTGTTTTTCCTGTTTGTCCTACAAAATTACAATTACATTTGCTACATGGAATACAATAAACACTTCCATTTACATTCAAACTTGGGCTATTCCTTATTAACATATTGGTAATGGTTGAGTCATACTTGAAAACAACATTAATATTTAGAAGCTTGAGGGACCGAACTAACGGGACAAATTCATTACGATAGGGCAGAGTAAAAATATTCTTAAGTGTAGGAACATGTCTTGAATAAAGACGAAAGCGAAGGTGCTCCGTTGTTTCCATTTTCCCGTGTGATTTTATCAATATATATATATATATATATATATATTGTTACGAACCCCTCCACCCAGAGCTACGAACCACGCCATCTATTGTCCTGATCTACCTACCCAGCACCACGAGCAACGCCATCTAGGGACGAGACACGAGTATGACTCGTCTTAGTTACCACTCCGGGGTTTCTCTTCTCCATATCCTGGTTGTTGCGTCACCTCCTCAAAGTCTTCTTTGTCAGCTCCAATTCGAGGAGAGAGGACTTGGCTCTGGGAAGTGACCACAGGATCATCTATCCTCTAAACCTACGGCAGTGACTACCTACCGTCTTCTACAATACTCAGCCTTACTCGTCAGCCATCTCAGCTCCTCACTTAAGTACTTTTATCTTGTATTGCCTCCCCCACGTCCACTTGCTTCAAAATGGTTTATGTTGTATTAATATGTATATACTGTTAATGTTTAGGTTAAGTTTGGTTAAGGGTAATTTATATGCTGAATATTTTGTTAAGGGATTTATGGTACTTTATTATACACAACGAAAACTCGCATCCTTTGTCTACCCTTTTATAGTCCGATTGTCTTTGTTTTTTTTTTTTGTTACCTGTTGGGATCTGGGTAGACGTATAACTATATTCTAAATCCCCAACTCGTAACAAATGGCGACCGTGACAGGATACGACCTTAAGTACCATATTCCTTCCTCCCTTGTTACTCAGTGTTAATTATTCCTCCCAGTCACTTCTGTTCACAATTGCTTTACGGTAGTTTAAAGTTTCCTTCATATGTGTGTGCATATATTGGTATTATCGTATAGTAAGAGTGACAGACGTAGGATATTAGGTTCCAAGTGTCATAAGGCTTACCTGTTATTACACGTGGCAGTCGTGTAGTAAGTCTTATCGAGTGTAGGGAAGAATCCGGATCTGTTTAATGCCGTACCCTCACTCCAGAGTAGGCTGTTCCATAGTCACTAGTTTAGGGTGAAGTGATATCTTGGGACGCCCCGCTCTACCAGGACCCCATAATTATAAAGCCTCCATTATTGTTCTTCTCATTATCTCATTCGGGGTCAATCATACCAAACTCAAGGGTTGTTAATCCGGATCTTTATATTAATGCCGTAATACGCCCTTCCTCTTTCAAGAATCTCAGGGTTGTTAATCCGGATCTTTATATTAATGCCGTAATACGCCCTTCCTCTTTAAAGTATCTCAGGGTTGTTAATCCGGATCTTTATATTAATGCCGTAATACGCCCTTCCTCTTTAAAGTATCTCAGGGTTGTTAATCCGGATCTTTATATTAACGCCGTAATACGCCCTTCCTCTTTAAAGTATCTCGGGGTTGTTAATCCATATCTTTATATAAAATGCCGTAATACGCCCTTCCTCTTTCAAGTATCTCAGGGTTGTTAATCCGGATCTTTATATTAACGCCGTAACACGCCCTTCCTCTTTAAAGTATCTCGGGGTTGTTAATCCGGATCTTTATATAAAATGCCGTAATACGCCCTTCCTCTTTCAAGTATCTCAGGGTTGTTAATCCGGATCTTTATATTAATGCCGTAATACGCCCTTCCCCTTTCAAGTCTTATCCTTATCTAAGGATCTTCTCAGAAGAACAATATTCATAAGTGTAATTTCCCTAGGTATAACTTGGGTAGTTTCCGGGACTTTCTGGTTATCCACTGCCGTGATATTTTCTAGGGTAATCCACTTATCTTTTGACCATTAATTAATTTATCTAGGTTTTCTTAATGGCCACCTCAGGATTTGTTAAACTTGGTAGTCCTGGAGGAGTGGAAGAGCAAGATACCATTTCACATCTTGAAGCATGTGGAGGAGCGTGGAGAGGTTAATTTAGGACGTGCTGCTGAGCTGGCTGATGAGTACGCCTTGCTGGTGGAGTCACTGTGCCGTAGGGAACGTGGTACTTCCCGACATGTTAGGTCCTCCTCTGATGATAACCTTGGGGACGTGAGTGGTAGGTCGAAAGGTCCCACACCTACCCCCCCTGATGCAACCAAGTTTTATTGTTCTTACTGTAAAAACCCAGGCCATACGATCCAGACTTGTAAACACCCAAAGTGTCGAATTGCTAAAAGTAGTTCCCTGGATCCCAAATCCAAACCAATAGCAAACACCAATGTGGAAAGGCCCCATCAGGATCTCTTCTCTTCATTCACCTATGAGGGAAAAATTTCAATCATAGAGGGGTCTCGTTCTTTCCCTATTCGTATACTACGTGATACGGGCGCAGCACAATCTATCCTCCTGTTTAACGTCATTCCTGATATATCTACCGCATTTACTAATGAGTGTTCTAATTTCAGATCTCTCATCCCATTCTTCCTATCCTTTAGCTAAAGTGCACCTCCAATGTCCCTTGATTACTGGGGAAGTGCAAATAGCCATTAGGAAAGACCCAATGCCTGTGTGCGGCATTCATTTATTATTGGGTAATGACTTGGTAGGAGATCTAGTGGTTCCTAACATAAAGACAGTCGACTCTCCCTTACCTGTCAACTCCACCACTGACCTTAAAGAAACTATTCCTCATCTTTTCCCATCTTGTGCTGTCACCCGGTCACAGAGTGTGCGAAATGGGCCCTCTTTATCTAAAACCACCTCCAATATCTTACTACCCACAGAAGATCTGTACAATAAAACCATTAGTAAGGATGAGCTCATTACAGCCCAACAATCTGATCCATCTTTGTTCAACCAGGTGATCACCTCCTTCGCGCCCGCGCTACGGAGGTCTTTGGAGGGGGGGGTGTGTTACGAACCCCTCCACCCAGAGCTACGAACCACGCCGATACGATACGAAGTCTTTAGTTAAGAGGTGAAAGAAGATTATTAGGAGTTGAAGGAAAAGTGGTGAAACTGAAATACAGTAGGAGTAGAAAGAATCTGGGCTCAACCAGATCGCTTCATCTTTCTTATTGGTGTTTTGTCTTTGTTCTGCTCCCTTGGGTCGTCAGACCTTTGTATTAATATTGGTTTATTTATATAATGCTGCTTATTATTATTATTTGTTATTGTTGGAGTTAGTGAGCCCGCCCAGGTCCTTGTGTAACTGGGAGGGTAGTCACATTTATTTATTTATTTATTTATTTATTTATTTATTTTTTTTTACTAAGATGTTAGTTCAATGTTAAATGTTAAATGTTAAATATTAGTTATGTTAGTCTAAAGGTACACTGTATGGAGAGGCCTGCCAGGTTCTTGTGGAGCTGGTAGGTCACTCTCATCTTTTATTCTCTCTATTAATGTTTTATATGTATATTGGGGCAGGAGATGGTTCAATTACTTTCTTCCTGGCTGATTTAAACCAACTGTGTTCTTGGAATTCTTCGTTGTCTATATTATTTATCCAGTTTTGATATGTTTCTGTGTTAAGTTCAGTCACTTTTTTCCAAATATTTACAGCTTTGTTGTGTATATCTACATTGATTGCTAAGAGGTTTGCTCTCTTGTGTAGCTGTTCATTATTGATGTGGTCTGTATATTTTATGTTATATATAAATCTGAGGGCTATATTTTGTACTGCTTGTAACCTTTTAATGCACGTTTTACTAAGGGTGTTCAATGGGATGGGTGGGTAGTCCATAATTGATTTAACAAGGGCAATATTGAACCTGATCTACCTACCCAGCACCACGAGCAACGCCATCTAGGGACGAGACACGAGAGTATGACTCTCTTGAACCACTCCGGGGTTTCTCTTCTCCATATCCTGGTTGTTGCGTCACCTCCTCAAAGTCTTTGTCAGCTCCAATTCGAGGAAGAGCACTTAATAAATTTATCCACGTTTTCATTGTGGATTTATGTATATATATATATATATATATATATATATATATATATATATATATATATATATATATATATATATATATATATATATATATATATATATATATATATATATATATATATATATATATATTCGGAAGCATATCACGCATCTTTGTCTGGAATAAATTAAGAGAGAGAGAGAGAGAGAGAGAGAGAGAGAGAATACCAGTGTCATCGCTACTAAGGAGAATTACTTTACCTGTGCAAGCGCCACGTCAATGGTCCACATATTTATGATGCTGTCCAGCACTGCAGTGGTGATACGAGTGCCATTAGGGCTCACAAGATAGGGATTGGATGTGATATGATTTGTCGAGTCCATGTCGAGACGAAACTGTAGTTTGCGGCCCACTGAAGAGTCAACGTTAAAGGTGCTGTAGACAGTCAAGTTGGCGCCTTGGTACTCCATCTCATGGATCTGAACCATAATAACAACATGAGTCTTCCTCCTGCGATGAATATCACACTCACTCACTCAGGCATGTCATCTATTTATTGGTTAATAATAGTTATGTGAGTATTACAACTGTCATGTATTCAAATAGCCTCAGAATATAGCCGCTACCCCCCCCCCCCCCCCTTTACCAGATGTTACAGTACTTGGCGTGAATTCGGGCAGCTTAAATTATAAGCGCAGCACATATGTGGATGAATTGTGCCTTTGATGATAAAAGCACGAAATTTGGCACATATTTAGGGTATGCCTAGTTAAAGAAGTTTAGCCAAAGGGCATCGTAGATTTAACCCGTGAAAGCAATGGCGCCCATAGTCTATTAGGTTAACTCCATTTGATGGCAAAAAAAAAATTCTTACTTCATTCCAGTTACTAACTCAGCCGGCACAGGATCCACCACACTGGCAAAGAGTTGTGTATGGGAGGGCTGGGTGTACCCTTCTTAGTCAGTCCGCATATATTACCTCTATAATTTGTGTGTTCGGTTAATTTGTTTTTATGCCTGTTTCCTTGGCGGTAATCAGATTTGGATCTGAAAAATTGGGCGACTGTTTAGAGATCCCTTCAGGTTCTCTCAACATGATAGCGCTGTAAGCTTAGCCTGTTTATATTGTTTGTAAATTATTTCAGCACGAGACGCTGATAAATGTGTCCGTACCTTGCCATGGATGTTTGTAAAAATATTGATTTGCTTTTTAGAGTAATCGTCCATGTTGTACATAAGTAGAGGAGTTCCTGTAAGAACATCATGGGGTAAACATTTGTCTGTGCCATAAGCAATACAGTAGGGGAATTGGCCTGTGGAACTATTGATCGACCCATTTATCGAAACTGCTACTTGAGGTAACCAGTCCTCCCATGCCATGTGCATGAGTTTCATAATATCTCAAGAATTTCAAGGATTTTATATTGGTTCTTTAAACCAGACCAGTCGCCTGTGGGTGATAAGTTGTGATGTAGCTTTGTTGGATGCTGTATTGCATGAAAATTTGTGTTAAAGTTTATTCTTAAACTCTGATACGCTGTCGGATAAAATAACCTTGGGTGTCGTGAATGGGTCATATCATATTTTCACTAGAGCGTGGGCTACTGCCTCGGCTGATTTTTCCTGCAAAAGAACTGAAATAACAGATCTGTAGAAGTACGTAAATATAACTTTGGTGTTTCTTCGAAAGTTGTAACAAGTCAATTGCTCTTGTGTAGAAATGACGTTACAGTGGAGACCTTAGCTCAACACACGATGAACCTTTAGCAATGAGTTGTTCGATGTCTATATTCATGATATTCCAATTCTAAGGTTTTCTTATTTCCGCTAGGCATTTGTCACGTCTGGGATAGCCTGCATGAGGGACATTGTGGCACAGAGTAAGTACAGCCATTCGTAGTGTGTCAGGTACAGCAATTTGTGTGACAGTATCCTGTGCATTCGGTCTGCAGCGGTGGAGTATGTCTTGTCGTAGTTCAAACTGCCAGAACAGAAGAGGTAACTTAAGTAGATAAGCTTCCTCCCCCGACTCTAGAGCAAAAATGACTGTAGTCCACAAGGAATCAAGTCATGTTCACCCCGTAATTGCGATAGCGTAAACAAAGATACAGACGTAACTGGTCTGGACAAAGCATCCGCGACAACGTTCGCTCGTCATAGAAAGTACTTGAACACGGGGGGCGAATTCTTGAATAGTTAAATACCAGAGTGCGAGTCTGCCTGAAAGGTTTTTCCAAAAGAACAACTCCGCCACAGCTACATGATCCGTATGGACGGTTATGGGATATTAAAAAAATAAATCCAAAGGAAATTTGCAAAAGACCCATAACTTTCGGTGGTGCTTATTGAAGTATCAGAAATACCATAGAGTAACTCAAATAGTTAGAAATGCCAATCAGCATCAGGCGACAGTAATAAAACCTGGAATGTCATAAGTTCTATTCAGAACAGGAACACTCAGCCTTCGGTCCCTCACTCAGCTTTTGTGATAAATGATTCAGTTGTAACGGAACCCTCCCCCATTGTCAACCACTTCAATTAATATTTTATTGATGTTGGCAAAAATCTTGTAGAGAGCATCCCAGATTACCAGGAGGAATTTTGAGCCTACCTCCAAAACAGACAGCAAAATGAGCTACTCTTATCTCCTGTCACAGCAGATGAATTATTTGCCATCATAAAAATGTCCAAACATGCAGCAGCAGGCGAAGACAATATACCAATTAGCACCATTAAGAAAATAGCCCACTTATTACTACCTGTCCTCATACACATTTGTAACTCCTCCTTCACTAGTGGTGTCTTTCCGGATAAACTGAAAACTGCTAAAGTTCACCCAGCAAAAAAAAAAAAATCTGGGGACAAAGGTCTCTTCAAGAATTACCGCCTCTTATCAGTCCTCCCAGCCTTGAGTAGGATACTGGAAAAGCTAGCATGTAATACAGTAGACTAAATTCCTTCTGCAATGCCAATAACATCTTCACAGACTTCCAGTTTGGATTTAGAGCTAGAAGGACGGCTGAGAGTGCTCTGCTATCCTTTACTCATGACATTTTAAATTCTTTGATGACAGTCAGTTCACAGTCGGTGTATTCTTGGACCTCATTAAAGCCTTAGATACTGTCGACCATACCATCCTCCTTTCAAAGCTTGAACATTACGGCGTTAGGAACCTGCCCCACAATTAGTTTACCCCATATCTGTTCAACAGGATGCAGTATGTCTGCTATAATAATTACCAAGCAGACTCTTCACCAATCTTGTATGGCGTCCCCCAAGGTTCCATTCTCGGCCCGGTACTGTTCTTGTTGTACATAAACGACATATTCCACGCCAGCACACTCATAAAATGCAACTTATTTGCAGACGATAGTAATCTTTATGCCAGCAACTCAGACCTCCATTCCTTGATGAGAACTATGAACACTGAATTAACTAAAGTCAGGACTTGGGTAATAGGTAATAAACTGACCTTAAACCCTGAGAAAACCCACTACACGATCTTTCACAGAAGGAAAAACTTACCCCCAGACCAGGACCCTCTGTACCTTGGTAATACAGTCCTCAAACGCGAACAAAATACTAAATTCCTCGGAGTTATTGTTGATGAGAAACTTAACTGGAGAAACCACATACAAGCCATTCACAGTAAAGTCAATAAACAGTGTGGTATCATATATCACACTCGACAGTCACTCACTCTCACAGCAATGAAAGAAATCTATCATGATCTTGTTTACCAACACCTGATACACTGTCACACACTATGGGGGAGCCTCCAGCTCTTCAAAAACATAATCTCTGGTTACTGCACAAAGGAGAGTTGTACGGACAATGACATACTTGAAAAAAAAAAGCAGATCACACAAACGAAAAATTTGCTATAGTGAAAAATTTCAAATCCGAAGATAGTAACACCTAC